GAAATCAGAATCATGCAGTCCAATCTCATCTGATCTGATTGCACTTGACCTTCTTTTGATCATAAGAGCCTTGATTGTGGAGGACAAATGTTTAAGCCGGAGCAGGGACGTATGGGCTCAAATCAGGTGTGTATTTGCAAATATGTTTTAGACCAGGCGACAACGGCCATTCTGAAGCAGAGTGCTAATTCTTGGGTACAGATTAATGCAAAGGGCTACCAGTTTGATACACACATTTGCTCAAATGTCTTTTAATAATATTATTATATGGTATTATTAATAATGACTTATATTAATTTATGCTTTTAATTATATTATTATATGGTATTATTAATAATGAATTATATTAATTTATGTGGAGACACTGCTCATAATGATTATTTCTCATAATTAAGAAATAGACGAATATCAATATGCAACACTTTATCTCAATAAATCGCTGGCAGTGTTCACGTTTTTAGATTATCACTTCTACAACATTCATAGGAAACCATAATGTCGCATCGCCGGTGAACTATGATTTGAACAGGCCCGCGGGCTGCCTGGTGCCCACCACGTTGGTGACCCCTGAAATAGATCAACAACCATTTTGAAGTCTTCAATGTACATAACATCCATACTTTTGGGAAAAAAAAGAGGAATTTGTAGTACTGGGAGAAAAGCAGTGCAAGCACATGGAGAACATGCAGCAAGCATGGATTTGAGCCCCCAACCTCAGATCTGTGAGGTAGCTACGCTAACCAGTCGTTCACTGTGCCACCCCATACTTGTATATTTCACAACTAAATGAAAAGTACCTGTTCATATGAGCCGGTCCATATCCTCCAATGGCATAAACCATGCCATCCAGTACAGCGGTGGCAAAGCAGCTGCGGGACTTGGTCATTGGTGCCACAGGCTGCCACTCCTTCAATTTGGGGATGTACTTTTCTCCTGACTGGAGGTAATATTGGCCATCATAGCCCCCCAGTGCATACAGCTCTCCAGCCAGGACCACCACCCCAAGTGTGCTGCGACACTCAGCCATATGCTCTACCGAAGACCAGGTGTTACTTTCAGGGTCCCAGCTCTCCACTGTGCTTTCGTGCCTCCTATAACTAATGCCCTGTCTCATGTGTGTGGCAATGCCTCCCACCACGTACACCTTGTGGTCAAGCACTGCCACACCAAACTCATATCTTGGAACACTGAGAGGTGCGAGTCCTATCCATGAATCGGTCTGAGGGAAATACATCTCCATGCTGCAAGAGAAAAGCCAATTACACGTTAGCTATACTGCTAACATTAAACAGTGAAGAAAATGCATCTGTTACTAATCCATGATTACCTTTCTAATGTGGCGAATAGTCCAGCCTTGCCTCCTACTGCCAGCAGCACCTTTGGGGCACACCTTGGTCTTGCAGACAACACAGTCTGATAGGAGAGTCTATGCTCAGGCATAAAATGATATTTGAGCGCCTCATTAAGCAAATGCTTGCATGCGTGGTCATCTCGTATGAGATGGTTGGCTTCATATAAACGAGTGAGAAATTTGACGCTGAGGAGTGGAAGGCGTACGCAGTGCAGCAACTGAGCCAAATGCTGCTGTCGTTCCGTTACATCATATTTAATCCACGACTCCAAGGCGTAAAATACAGTCTCTTCCGTTACCACCTTAAGGCAATCGTTGGACACAATTTCATCCAACTCTGCCCTCGTCAGTTCAAAAAACTCTTCAGTCTGACAGACTTCCTCAAAATTCTCACAGATGAACTTTGTTGCAGCCAGGCACAGATCATGACAGCCATACGTCTCTGCAAAGCGAGAGATTCCGATACAGTTCCCAGCATCCAGCTGGCTCTCCAGGAAGGAGCAACACTCCTTTAGTACGAGCTTGACCTGGAGTAAGTTGGCTGCCGGGAGCAAAGATTCCACCGTTTCCTGGGAGATGAACACTGTGCCAGTGTAAGCATACTCTACGATGGCCTACACGAAGGGACAAAAAGAGACACAAGGAAAAAAATGGTAGAAAAGTCAACTGATTTATTTGATATTAACTGGCTGCCATCTTACCTGCAAGGCAGTCTCATCAATACACTGGAATTCAACCTCAGCTGTCTCCTTTTCTGACAGGTTACCTGTGAACATAGCCTTGAAGTAGGGACTGATGCTGGCCAGTACTACTTTGTGGGCATGGATCTTGGCGTCACCCACCCGGAGCACAATGTCACATAGTTCATGATCCTGCCGCAAGAGCTGGAGGCCTTGCAGCAGTTGTTCAGAATGAGGCCGCGTGAGACTGGCAAACATATAGGACTGGTCCTGTTGGTCCATCTGAAAGCAGAAGCACATTAATGAGTGTCAGGTTGAGAGTTTGTCTCAAGTACTACAGTACTATTTGTTTTATAGTAACAAATATAGACTGTTTGGGTACATATACAGTACATGCATGTGTGTGTGTGTGTGTGTGTGTGTATGTATGTATGTATATACACACATATACATATATATATATATATATATATATATATATATATATATATATATATATATATATATATATATATATATATATATATATATATATATATATATATATATATATATATATATATATATATATATATATATATATATATATATATATATATATATATATATATATATATATATATATATATATATATATATATATATATATATATATATATATATATATATATATATATATATATATATATATATATATATATATATATATATATATATATATATATATATATATATATATATATATATATATATATATATATATATATATATATATATATGTATATATATATACACACTTTTAACGTGAACATTATTTGAAGTTCTTCGTTGAAAAACATTACAATAGAAGATTACTGTGCGATGTTTTGTATGAAGCTATTTACATATAAACAAGAGCTGTTGTTCACAAACGGTGTCGCTCCATAACTGTTCTGTGCAGCAAGTGCAAATTTGCAGTATTTACTAAAATTATCGTCGTCGAGTTTTAAAACTATCGAAATATTTTTTTAGCTCCTATCGCATACCCCTCCCTATACATGGCATGCATTAAAGGAAAGGGTTTCGGGGGTCGATAGCTATACTGTACTGGTGAAATTCTGCCATCCCTCGGAGCAGTTATTCGGTTTTGGGGAAGCGTGACCGAATTTTTAATCAATCCTAATGGCAGGGAACGTTTTTATGTTTTTTTTTAACGTCTTACGCTGCAGCGCGTGTGTGACATTCTGTCACAAACGAAAGAGTAGTTGTTCATTGAAAAGTGCTTCTACGGGGTTTGCGATATAATTGCATAGTAATGACATGTTCAATCCGTGCTAGCTCCTTCCTAGCGTCAGATCAGCTCGATCGCTAGCTAGCACAGTCAACCCAAACACCGCTAAATTTAGCACTAACACGTTTCTGACAGCAGCATGTTAGCATTTACATTACAACACCAAATTGTCAAAAACATAACATTACAAGGAAAAAAACACTACGTCTATTTTATCGCGGTGGCACTGCAAAAAATAGCTGCTAAAAATAAACACGGTTACTAGCTGCATCATTGATTGATATAAAGTAACATGGCTGACAGAGACACAAAACATAACGGTTTGGTAAGGTGTCCGCTGATAAGTCATGTTGCGTTGCGTCGCGACAAAACTAAAACAAACCTGGAACTTACTGTGCGTCTGATGAACCGCTGCGGTGATCGATTTTGCAGTGACGGAGTTCAGCAGTGACGAGTGGGAACCCCGGGCGGCTATCAAGGAAAAACAACCTACTGCCAGGCTAGCCACAACGGTACCAATGAGTCCTTATTATAAATGAGCGAGTAAACAGCACACCACTTCCGCTACTTTCAAATTAACAGCACACCCCTGCTACTCATTTCAAAATAAAAGTATAGAACAGTACAGTAATTACAATATATGAGTAAAGATTACGAATTTAAAAAAAGGAAACTGTTTTATTTCAATATCAGGATGTGGATAAAGCAATTGTATGTACTGTATTGTAAAAATAATACAACAAATAAAACTGAACCCTGAAAAGGTTTATAATTATCAATACCCCATCTTAATTATCAGTACTCCATCCATCCATCAATTTTCTATTCTTTTCCTCATTACAGTTGCGGGCGTGCTGGAGCCTATCCCAGCTGACTTGGAGTGGTTAGGTGGGGTACGCCCTGAACTGGTTGCCAGCCAATTGCAGGGACTACGAGTACTAATGAGAGTAATAGTACTAGTTCAGCATTTTTTTTAATAATAGTGAATGGTGAATGCACAGTAGCATTTGCAATTCAATTAAACTGCAGTAATATTATCGATGTTAAAGGGAAGAAATGTTTTCTGTGTCAAGCAGGGGTGGGCAACATATGGCTTGGGTGCCACATACTTCCCGCTCTATTTTTTAAAATCAGGCCCACTGACCATTTAAATGATCCATTTTTTTGTGTTAATGTAAGACAAGGTGAGGCAGATTCATTTTTCTAGAAAATGTCATACACAAGGGAACTCAATGTGCTTCACATGGAATAGTTAAAGCCTACATGTAAAGGCAAAAGAATTTAAGATATTTAAAAGCAAAGCAAAGAAATAAAATGGAGTTTACTAAAACATCTAAAAGAATGTACCATACAAAAACAATAATTTTTGAAAAAATTGAGTATAGAACTTGTTACACAATAACATTAAGAAGGTTTTGAAGTGCTTCATATAGATCCGGAAACAGGAACATTTTCTCAAATTTTCACCTTTTACTTGATAATAAATCTCAAGATTCAAAATCTTTGCAGGTCCCCTCATTGTATTTTTAACAAGTTGTATTCTCTTCTTTCATGTTTTGTATTGAAAATGGGAGTAAAACTTGCAAAAAAAGATGCTTCGCATATTTCACTTCCCAACGACGTGCGCGTGCGGCCGTGTGGCGGCGGTAGTGGGTGCACGAACCCGCAGCACGCGTCACCATGGAAGCGCTCAGTTTGCGACCTGGATACGCCATTTTGCCTCCCAGTGCTTCGGTGTGTGCGGCTGTGCGCGTGTATGTACGTGTGCATGTGTGTGAATGTTCGTGCGAAGTGTGTGTGCGTGGGTTCCCGTCGATCAAAATACCTCTGTAGCTTCCGAACGTTCAACACTTCATACACCAACTAAACAGAACCAAAATGTTCACGTTTGGAGAATAAACAGCCCGCTCCGCAGCCGGACATGGGAACGCGGACGACGTAACGTCTAATAGTCTCGACGTAGCGCTGTCGAAGTCTAAGAACCGTGAGACATTACAAGGTTTGTTTTCTTATTGCTTTGCTTGAACTTTGCTTGCCAGAATCAGTCAGCATTATTTAACCGAGTAGCGAGCTAGCTTAGCACAGTGAACCCAATGATATAAACACCAGCAACGACTCGATATATCGAGTTTGTGTCTTCTTCAGCATGGCGTAGGCGGTCGGTTGTTAGAAGTCCACTGAAGGCACCGTTCATGTTTCAGTGCATGGGCTGCTGCGGTCGATATTTCTATTACTTAATACATTGGCATGTTACATTAGAAGGGAATTATGTACATCGGGGCACGTTGTTCTGAGCCATGTTGGTGAGTGGCAACCAGCCACAAGTGGTTGGTTGCCCACGTTAAGGTGCATCGTGTCCTGATTCATCGTTTTGCTGAGAAAGTCGTTTTGCAAAACAGTCAGAAGCACTTGTCAACAGTTGTGTGTCGCCAAAGTTGTTTTTTATTCACCAATGCGAGCAACCATATGACAATGGTTCAATATGTGTTCACCCATTCATGCGCAAGCAATCACATGCATTTGCCAGTGAGATATCTGTACCCATTCTCCACATTGGCCGGCAGGAAACAAGGCACAAAGGGGAAGGCAATGACCCCTCAGTGGGTATTGGGGAGGTGGATGTACATGCCGAGGAAGAACTCCCTTCAATTTTGGAAGATGCTGCAGACCCGCAGAAATTAACTTCCACATTATTGAAATCCATCTTCAACACTGGACAGCCAAAAACTGAATACTGGGGAAGGTTTGAGCAGCTTTTAATTTGGATTGGGTCCATAGATTTGCCTGCTACTCCAGGCGTTTGCAAACATTCCCAAAGGTTCCCAAACATTTCTGAGGGTTGTTGGCCAATTCAACAATCAGTGCTGTGGCAAGCATTGGTTGCTCTGTGAGATACCAAGGTGTATATGTGAGTGCAAATGATTGATTGCGTCTGTTACCTGCGATTAACTGGCGACCAATTATAAGCAGTCTCTCGGTCCTGCAACGCTAACGAGGATAACTGGAATAGAGAATGGATGGATGGAATAATATGCATTTCTTGGCCATCTACTTATGCTTATTCAATTTGATGACGCAAATCCAAATCCTGTGTCATTGCTGATTTCTTTGTTCTCTCCGCAGTTAAGTGGCTGGCTTCCCATCATCAACCACTCAGGATGAAAGCCAACGGGAATGAAGAGGAATATTATCATCCTCTTAAGATTGCGCTTGATTCTTCTCATGTTTGACCACATCTGTCAGATCACCAATAATGATTTGTGGAATAATCTCCCAGGAGTTACACCAGCAACTTCTGGATGCCAAGAATTACCAGAATCGCACAAATGGAGTGGAAGAGCTCAAGCGAATCCTCTCAGAAGTGGACTTGAAATTGGTCCCTTCTGACAGTGTGGAAGAGTTCATCAATTTTCTTCCCAGACTTTTAGATGACAGTAATTTTAAAGTGTTTTATGGCACCTTACAAGTTTTAAACTTATTTATTCAGAGGTTAGATGCAAGTATTCACAAATATATTAAACAGATAGTTTTGGTAGCCGTCAAGGCTCTTGGTGATACTCGTACCATCGCCAGGAATGAATACATGAACATGTTTCATCTGATGATGAAAACTGTGGCCCCACAACAAGTTTTAGACCTTGTTATTTGTAATTTGAAACACAAGAATTCCAGAGTCCGAGAGGATGTTCTTAACATCATTATTGCAGCTATGCTCACTCATCCCAGAAAAGAGTTCAACATCCCCAAGCTTTGTTTGGAAGTTGCACCTTATCTGTCAGACAGCAAAAGGAAGGTCCGCCACGCTGCCCTTGAGCTATTTGCAGTTTTTGACTCCTGCCTCGATACAGGGAAAAAACAGCCCCTCACGAAAGCTGTGGACAACGTTGAGCTCAAAGAGGACGCTGAGGGGCTTATGGCAGCTGTACAGGCCAGACGTGCAAGACACGTTCTCCCCAAACTTTCCCCAGAGGGAGTGGTGGAGTACGGTCTGGTTGTGCCGAAATCAGGGCTCCGCTGCTCCCCACAGGCTAGTTGTTCAGGAGCTGATCTGGACTGGGTGATGAATGGAGGAAGGATTAGCAGTGCAAGGAGTCACCGAATTGAGCCAGAATATGAGCGACTGTATGGCTACGGCAGTTTAGGATCACTCACCGATGAGCTTCCCTCTCAAAGGAGGATTGTCAGCGCAGGTAAAGGGAAGAACAAATTACCTTGGGAGATGTTGAGCTATTCATTGACTGAAAATAACCATCAGTGCCGCTCCCCCAATGGAAAGTGCTCCGAGCAGGTGAGGTCACACTACTTGCTGCTCAATTGCTGTTATACATCACTCCTTTATCAACATATTTATGATCGATGCATTCGGGGCCAGACATTCGTCGCTGATGCGGAACAATGCTATGCTGGTTCTTGCAAATCCAGTTTGCGAAGTATGGAGGAGTTTAGAATCAGAATGGTATATTTGAGTATTGAATGTTCTTGTATTCTCAGCAAATGCCGATGACGATGATGATGAAAGTGTTGTCACGATACCAAAATTTTGACTTTGATACTATACCTGCATAAAATACCTTGGTACCGGTCTTGAAAGGATACCATGGCAAATACTTAAAATATCAGTAAAAAAATTGGAATAATAGCTATAATAATAGAATAATAATAATAGATTTTGATCGTCTACGTCTTGACTAGACGAGTCTTGGCAGCCCAATGTTGAAAATATGGAAATATAGATCAATTGTTCTGGAAGTGAATTTCTATAGCTTGGCAGGTCTGCATCTGGTGGTGACTCATCTTCTTATTTTAGTTCCAGGATCCCAACAGCACTAACAGCAGAGCTATCAGACACATTCTACTCATGCTGTTCAGAGATCAGGATGGGGGTGGTGTGTTTCCGGCGGTGTTAATTGACTTAATTCTGTTCTGGGAACTGTTGCCCAGTATTGTTGTGTTCATGTTCATTTCAAGACCTTCTGTTTACTGCAGCGTCTGTTTCCCAGCAACCCCATGATTGCAGAGCACCTCTTATGGGTGTGCGTGCGTGTGTGACAGTGTGTGTTCGACAAATACAATTGGTAATATTACAAGGTTAGACTTGTACACCATGGCTTATTTACAGCTCAGGTGTAAAATGCAAGTGCTGGAGTGCTATCAAGCAAGCAAGCAGGCTGGCTGGCAGTGCAGTACCCAACTCAAACCCCGCCAACCTTTTACTAAGAGTGAGCTGACAGATGCAAAAAGCTCTCATTACTCTGTTTGTACTTTAGTTGTCGAAATTAAGGTTTTACAGATTCCAATTCACATAGAAATGGAACTACAAAAATAGACACCATGTCAAGTATGCCGTCACTCTTTCCACATTCAGCGGACACAAAAAGTCAACACACCCTTTTTCAAATGGCAGGTTTTGTGCACCAATTCTATTAGTTGTTTATTTTTTTACTTTCCTATGCTAAAAAGAAAAAATCAGCTGAGTTCAACAGATTAGATGACATTAATGGGGGGGGGGGGTTCAAATGATTTAAATCGCTTGTTTCTATTTTAATGACAAAAATCTGGCATTTGAACAGGGGTGTGTAGACTTTTTATGTCCAGTGTAGCAGAAAATCATTTTGTTTAGCCTGGTGGATAGAATAAATAACCACCCACCTCTTGTAATCAATGCATCTCTGTCTTTTAACAGGTGACCATGGAAGAAGTTATTCCGCTCACCAGGAAATTGAGTCCAGCGACCTACATATCCACTTTTAGTAAGTGCTGAACCATCTATGTCACACGCTCACATTGATCTGAGGTAACAAGTACAGTTGAATGCTTGTAACAGTTTGCTGGTACATATTAAGAGCCTCTTGGAATTAGATTAGCATGTTGAGTCAAAGGAGTCACAAGATCACGTGTTAAAGAAAGCGCTCAGAATTAAGTGGCTGAAAGGCACAACCTGAATGAATGAACCCATCGTACTAGACAGTTTGCCAGATATAATGAATGGTAATTATTCATAAAATACAACACACTTTTTGACTTTTACAACTCTGCTTTTCCAGCCATGTGTTAGTTGCCCCAGTCTATTTTGCAATACTTTGAATTAAAAAAAAAAAATGTTGTCTAAAGGTGCTGCAGAATCACAGACACCCCAAACATCCAGGAGAAGAATATCTCCAGCACGGCTCAGAAGAAGCGGAAGCCTCAACTTAGACCCTGACGTCTTTAAAACTACAAATGTCACTGAGTCAGACAGCGGTAAGGAACCTTTGCCAAAATAATATAGATATATATATTTTTATCTTGGTTCAACAGTGGAAGTGGAACTTCATTCTGAAAGTTGACCTCATATTTAAAATCACTGCCAGGCTCCATGTTTTCCTCTCAAAATAATTTGAAGTGACTTGACTGAGTTTAATATGAAGACAAAACCAGCGACGTTGTAGGAGCCTGGTTGAGCAACATCCAATACAGCCACCACATCAATGTCCTGGTCACTGAGTCAATGTGGTGGCCATATTGGATGTGGCAAGTTCCGGTCACACGCAAGAGACACTCTGGGCCAAACAGGAAATGACTCTGTTTAAACTTTATTGGCTGGAGCAGTGCAATTCAGTACACTCCGGTGCCCAAATACGCATGTATTGCACGAGGACCTCGTGCACATGTCTCACTTTAAATGAGAGGCTATCAGTGATGTTTTGCGTGACCATAAGTACGTCATCGTTTGAGATACCAGAAATTAACGAATCAATTTTAACAATTAAAGAATCAATTACTGTATACTATTTGTCCTGCTCATCTAAAAACAGATATACGTATATTTTGAAGTAATTCTATTGGAATTTTTCATTTCTCTGTCATTATTTAATATTGTCTATTTTGGTGTGACACAGCCTGGTCACTATATTATTAATGAGACATTATCATAATGTTTTAAATTGTACTATTTTTTGATGTCCAAAAGTGAAAAAAAATGTGTCTTCCAGGGTTATCCAAAGGACACATGCTCTCCAGGAATGGCAGTGTTGAGCGCACACTTTCTCTCCCCTCTAACTACACCACACCTGGCTCCTTTCTGCTGCCTTCCTATCCATTGGCTGCACTCCCAGGAGGTGTGCTCACGCCAACACTATCCCGTCGCCATGCCGACTCGTCCCTCTCTATGTCCAACACCTGGCCCAACAAGCGAGAGAATAGTCCTCACCAGCGAGAGACCAGCCCCAGGGGGGACGCAGCAGTCAAAGGCAAGGGTTAGCTTGTCAGCTAGCTGAATGTAAAATTAGCTGATCATGGTTTTGTAATGATCAATTTTCTGCCCTCACCTGCACCAGGGGACCTCTCTAGCAGATGCTCTCCTCGGCCAATCCGTGCCTCCCTAAAAAGTTCTTCATCAACATCGTCATTCCGCAGAGTCTTGAACAGCAGCAGGACATCCCTTTCCATCTCACCAGTCATTCCTTCAGGAGAGCAGTTTTATAACAATGACCAAAGGCCCAATGCACGCAGCAGCCCTCAGAATCGGTATCTAGAGAGGGACCTTCAACTAGGGCCTGTGGGCTCTAACACAACACAGGATACTCAAGAAGAGGAGCCTCTGGACGTGCAGGAGGTAAACAGCCTTTGTATTTACCTGTCTGAATTCTGTTGATCAATTCTGTACACCCAAAGTCTTGAGTAAATAGAGTCTGTGGATGTGTAATGTATTTTAAATTAATGTCATGCATTCCCCTTCCTGTCAATATTTGCCAATATGATTTGCTCACAGATGTGGAACTCACTGCGTTCGTTGCGCAACAGTGCGGCTAAGAAGAGGGCCAAAGTGAGCCTAAGCAGTTCAGACCCAGACCAGGACAGCCTAGATTGTGCTCTAAGGTCACCCCTTGGTCAAGACCTAATGGTGCACACCCCTCCCATGCTAACCAGCTCAACCAGTGACAGTGGTCTTTCCAGTTTGAGTCCCACCACCTCCACTGTCTTTGGCATCAAAAGGTAAAGTCATCAATCATTTGTTTTTGTGGGGACACAAATTTTATCACTCTTTTAACTTCACTCGAACACCCAGTTTGGAAGCCCAAAGCAACCAGTGGATTTGCCTCTTATTGGAGATGAGGGTACAGTTATATGTTACGGCACTAAGTGATTGGATGGCACAGTTCAGAGGATGCATGCAGGCTGTTCACTGCTCACATCAGTGGTCTCCAACCACCGGTCCTGGAACAGAAAAACAACCCAAATTTATTGGCACCCCTGGTGAAGGTCTGTTAGAAGTCTTGAAATAATGCAATACAATTTAGATTGCAGAAGGCTACTCTCAAACGGAAAATTCCAGAAAGGGTTCACCACACACACAATTAAGCTCTTCCCATGGCCATCTCAGTCCAAGACCTCAACCTCATTGAAAACCTGGGGAGTGAGATACAGAGGAGAGTACTCCGGTGAATGATTTAGAGAGATTGTGCAAAGAGGAATGGTCTTAGATCCCTTTTTCTCTATTCTCCCATCATGTAAAACATTCTAGGAGATTAGGTGCTGTTTTGTTGGCAAAAGGGGGCTGTTAAAAGTATTAACATGAGGGGAGCTAATAATTTTGGCACACAAGATTTAATGTGGTCGACTGGTTAGCACATCCGACTCATAGTGAAGAGGTGCAGGGTTCGATTCTGGAATTCAGACTGCGAAATACAAAGGCTGTTTAACTCCGGCCGTCCTGTGTGGAGTTTACATATTCTCCCTGTACCTACATGGGTTTTCTCTGGGTACTCAGGTTTCCTCCCACATTCCAAAAACATGCATAGCATGTTAATGGAACACTCTGAATTGTCCCTTGGTGTGCGTGTGAGCACAGATGGTTGTATGTCTCTGTGTGCCCTGGAATTGACCTGCATCCAGATCAGGGTGTACCCCGAAGACAGCTGGGGTAGGCTTCAGCACACCCTTGTGAGGGTAGGGGGATTAGAATATGAATGGATGAATGCATGGATGGTTTTGATATAAAGAATATTTTTAAATGTAGGATTTTTTTTCTCCCTAGTTTATTCATTATTCCTGATTGGGTCGATTTCTCGTAGTTCAGTGTGTTATTTGATCTTGTACTACCGTAAGTAGTACCGTAAGAGAATAATTTTTTTTCTGTTCATTTTATTTTGTTTTTAAAAATGTACTTCATGTGTGACTAAAATGTTAAAATACTTACTAGTTTTCGAAGTTTTCAATGCAAATGTTTTAAAACTGGTAATTTGCAAACAATATTTATTTTTGTTTTTTTTTTAATTGGCGGCAGGTCGATGGGGTAAACCCTGAACAGGTCGCCAGCCAAAATGCATGGCACGATCCATAGCAGCTATCGATCGTTCGAGAGAACCGAAAGAAAAACAAAAGAAAGTCACTCGCGTTCAACATTCGACTCGAGTCATTCAATGAACCCTCACACCGGAGGACATCTCAAACACGCATAGACACGTTCAATGCTTCAAACAGTTACAAACTGCCCGTCTCAAAACAACGTGGGCTTTCTTACACGGTGGGCCATTACTCATTGCTACTACGATTCTTTTCATCCAAAGAAATAAAGAAAACGCACGTTTGTGTTTGTTTTATATTTTTAGAAACACTACTTTGCAAAAAAAAATGCTCGCACTTGTCCGTATTTTATTCAACGAATTATTCGCCACAATTTAACACGTACTGTAAGCAATTAATTCCGCCGAAAGAGCTGGAACGCTATGCACATTTACACTTGATAAAATGTTTTGCGAAGAATTCGAGCGCACCCATTTGTACCCTGTCACTTAGTTTCATATTAGTGAAATTCACGATGGTCATTAAAAACGATTTGAAGGCAAAACGATATAACGAATGCAAACGAACACAGATTTCCCCCTATTTCGGGGGAATCAATGGCTTACGGTACGTGTTTAATTATAGCGAATAATACTGACGAATGCTGCCACTCTTATGTAAAACCTCGTTTATATAACTACAAAACAAAACCACAAACATTTACATTTCTTCATATCTTTAAATTAAAACAAACGTAGTAATGCCCCGCTGCCTTCACTCAATGTGTGTGTTCGCGGCCAGGGGATACGGATTTTTATTCGGGGATAAGCACTTTGGCCCAACCCGGAAAGCGGCGTGTTTCGTCGTCTCTTCAGATATTTGCAGATTACATTTACATGGCACTCTTCACTTACAAACATAACGACAAATGCAAGTAGCCCACGGAAATGTAACCAGCGCCGATGACGGCATGTTGACATCGTCGTCCCCGCGTTTGTCAACACAACACGTCATCGACGCCACAGTGATAGTCGCCTTTCGTGTAGGCGCTTTTCAAACAGTCCCCCTTGAAGCCCGTATCAAATAGGTGACGCTTGGAAACCTGCGCTCGATGTGGGAGTCGACTTTTGTTCACGTACAGGGCTTGTTGAATTAGCGCCATACGGTGGTGTTTATGAAGAAAACCCAATTCATGGTTTACCATTCAGGATTCGGGTGGATTTGAGCTGACGCTCAAAGTCGACAGGTACTGTACATCGGTCACTCTACAATTTAAATACAGTACAAACTATCCACCAATATTAGTTAAAAAACGGACTATTCATTTTCTGTTTGTTTTTAAGATCAAGAGGCAAATAGGCAATAAAACATACAATTTGATTCGTCCAGCTCAACTATCAACAGAAAACATTTTTCAAAATATAGCTGAATGAATCTTGCTCTCTCAATAGTTACATTTTAGTTTAACACAAATTTTATTTCAGTAAAACAGTGGCGGGTCGCATAGCAACACTGTTAAGAGTTCTTGCTCAATTGTCCATGCAAACTGTGTTTGCAATACGAACTGGTCAAGAATGAATGTTCAAATATAATTAAGAAAAGCTAGTACAGTAATGTTTTTTTTTTTTTTTTTTTTTTTTGTGGGGGGAACCAAAAAAACATTTTTT